GGAGCTCGCATCTTTCATAAACGGAAAATAATAACATTCCACATTGGGGAAAAATAATAAAGGCCTCAAAGAGAAAAAAAACGTTACCTCGCTTAATTGAATAAATTTGTCTTTTTATGATATATCTAGGGTTGCATGCAAGTGATGATGCATATTTTTTCCTACGTATAAAATACTATAAATGAAATGAATTTAGATTTTGAATATTGACGCCAAAAGTCTAAACCAATTCTGCTTCACCCAGGACCTTAGGCGCAGTTTTTCCACTGTTTGTGCGATCTCTAACCTCGCATTCGGCAGGGGGTGGTCCTTGAAGAAGCTCTCGTATTCAGCTGCGTTAGCCTCCGTAGCCTTGAGTGTTCTACCCACAGAACCTGCAATAACTTGAATACGAAACTGACCTTTACCCCACTGCCGGTCAATATCCACAAACCGTTCCTTGAAGAAGCTCCACACCTCACCTTCCTTAAAGGACCGATTGCCTGCCATGGAAATAAACACAATACCACCAAAGTGGTTCCGAACCCCTTCGTTGTGCATGCATCGAACAGCAACGTTCTTTACGAACTCTGTATCGGTGCTCATACACAAGCCATGGATAAGTGCGCGGAGTCTCTCATCATTACCATCCTCCTTTTCCAACTTTGACATTAATTGCTCGTTTTTCTCCTGGGTGCTGGCACTGTCGGATACACGCATATATGTAGCGAAGCTCGTTTCAAGCGCCACATTGGAATACTCAGCACCCGAGAGGTACCCTTTAGCCTGAGCAATGCACCATTGCACAATCGGACTTTCCTGTAGTGAGTTCACACCATGAGAAACGTCACCATTCAACAACATGCGTAGTGCTGTGGAAATAAGAAAATGCTGAGAAATCTCCTCCTCGGGGGTTTTCGCGCGCTGTTGAAACCGTTCCTGAGCCAGATCAACAATAAAACTGAGTTGCGAGGCGATGATAAGTTTCTTTTCCTGCAACTCGAAGCACTCTGCGAATGAAAACACGCCCTTCGAAAATTCCATGAGAACACCAGTATGAATCTCTTTGGTATCTTTTAGAACTCTCCCAAGGGCAGCCACACGTCCCAGGGCCTCCGATTGACCCATCCATAAGGCAGCAAAAGTATCCGCGATAAGCACACACTTGTCTCCAGGCTTCAACGTAGAGAAGGAAGATAGCCATAACTGAAATTGATCATCTTCATAGTGGCATCGATAAAATCCCGATCGGCGAGGATTGGCCGTCAGCCACACGTCCTTTCCTTGCATTTCTGGCGGCAGCAACACTTCTAAAGGTTCCCGACCACGCAAAACAACGGTGATTCTCTGGCCACCAGTGCCTTCAATGATGACTGGAATGCACCACGTGTCGGTGCATTTCCCACCAGAGGTCACGTACTTACATGGCTTTTGCTGTAGAATAAGTCCTTGGTTTCCCGCCATATGCCGAACAACGACCATGGGGTGTCCCATCTTGGTCGTGAATGAGCTCATTATTTCATTCACAGGTACTCCGGAAGACTCCTCCAATGCCAGCCACAGCTGCATCGTCTTCGTATCCTTGAACTGGTACTTATTGATATAGTGAGCTACCGCGGCCTCCCACATCGGACCAAGGAAACCCTGCAGCATAAACACCAACCCCATCCCTTTGTTGTAGCTGATGTTGTCAAAGATTTCAGTGATTTCGGCCGGGTCGTGAATGGGGACCTCGACGGGATGGCTGTGCTCGGAGATGTCGACCTCCATCGCTAGATTGACCTCCCGAGCGGCATTTCCTAGGCAATCCCACTCCGGCTGCTGCAAGTCGGCGGCGTAGTAACCACACCACGATGCGAACCCTTCCTTCAGCCACAGTCCTTCCCACCAATTGATCGCGACTAAATTACCGAACCAATTGTGCGACACCTCGTGGCATATCAACGAGAGTGCCCCCTTCATCGAAACCACGCTGGAGGAAGACGGGTCAACCAAAATCGACTCCGCACAGGTGATACACCCCCAGTTCTCCATCCCACCGATGGGGAAGTCGGGTACAGCGATCATATCCAGCTTTGACAGCGGATACTTGCAGCGAAAGAAGTCTTGAAAGAAGTCCACCGCGGTGGTAGTGGCGTGGAGCGCGAATTGGGCCTTCGGAAGCTTCCCTGGGGTCGTGAAAATCGATACTTGTATGCCGGACTTACTGATAGCAGAAATGTTCTCCAGTCGCCCCACAACACAAGCCGTGAGGTATGGCGGACACTGCGCGATCGTGTCGAATTCGTGCACCAATTGGCCATTGGTGTTAGTACTCTTCTTGTTTAACTTACCGTTGGAAACTACGGTGTATTCCTCGTACGCCTTAGGCAATAGGACGGTTAGCGTGAAGTCTGCCCGACTTGCGGGCTCATCCTGACAAATGTAAAACAGCCGTGCGGAGGTCGGCTCAAAATGCGTAGAAGCCATACGCACTTCCTTTCCATCCTCCTGTACTGTGACACGATAAAAACCACGAAGTTCTGTGTTGATCACGTTGCTGAATTTAAAAGTAAGACGGGGTTCCTCGGACGTGGTGGCCTCACCCTCAAGCCTGAGGATGATTGTTTGGGACTGCTCATCACGCTCTATGAGCGTCGCACCCTCAATTGCTTCGATTTTCATATTGTCGCCGACATGGAGCCAAATCACGTCCTTTGGTGAATCAATGGACTCGGTAAAACCTGTATTACGCTTCAAAATGATGTCCTCACGAGCACGGTAGGACCATGTTGACAAATCAACTTCGATCTCGAGGGTGTAAGATTTGGGTACAAAAGCATTGTTGAGCTTTACAGACGAAGGCAGTGACATCTTGATATCCCGTCTCACGCCACCTTTTCTTGAAGAATGCTAACAATTTTATCGATGTGTATATCGTCTATGTATATATATATATATAATGGTAGTTGAAAGACGCTAATAAACTAGTAGAAGATGTAGTGATCTGAAAATCAGGTTTAGAAGTTTTCAATCAGTCAAATTACAGATATATGTAATAGACGGCAAGCTACTAAATAATGCAATGTATTGCATGATTTATTCTATAGCAGTATCACAGAACCAGCCGCAGCCATTCTTCGGCACGAAAGAAGACATTCTGCCATTATTTCCCCAAGTACTTTCCTTGCAATACCCCCTACTTCTGTGGAGGTTTAAGCAACGCAGCAGAATTCGTGAACACTACTAATTGGTCAGAAAGGATCCCGATTTGCTCCTGAAGTGCAACCTGCATCCGTTCTGATTCAATTTCTTGCTGGTCGAGCCGTACACGCGCCTCTTGTAGTTCTTCTTGCAACCCCCATATGATATCTTCCTTTTTGGCGAGCTCGATCATGGTAGCGTTCATCTGCGTATAATAGCACACCGCGGCGCGATCCGCAGCCGCAAGTCCATGCAAAAGTTCGTCTGGATCAGCGTGTTGAGTATCAAAATACGACTCTTGAGAGGACTGCGGTAGAGGAGGCCCTTTTCCAACCACATCATGTGACTTGAAGCAGTGACTATCCCCAAGCGCGCAGACACGCATTTTTTGATCTGACAAGCATCGTCCACCCTTTTTTCCACTGGATAAAAGATCCAAATTTGAGGCGATATATTTTATCACGTCTCGGATCTGAGCAACTGCGCACGCCCCAGCCATATCTTCAAGCGCAGAGACCATGACGAGGGAGGCCCTGACAAGCTCCGGCAAAGCCGTGCTCCCCTCCCACCATACCTGCTGATGGGCTATAAGCCATTTCAACTGTGCTGTTCGAGATGCATCAGGAAGCGCACACACTTCACTGTGCTGCGCAATCATTGCCGATAGTACCTTTTCGGCCGGTTCCCAGAGCAACAACTCCATCCCCTCCAAGCAGCCGCGAATCCAGCTGAGGACAGCATTAGCGTTCGCAACCACCATGTCCACAAAAACTTCTCGATCAGACACTTCGCACACATCGTCGCTCAAGGCTGACGTGCGCACGCGGTACTTATGGTCCTGTGGTAAGTATGCAGTGCAACCATTCACGAGTAAAGGCAAATGATTCTGGATCATAGTCACCCAACTACAAACTCCCTGAAGAAGCTCGCGTTGGTTGGATAGCAACGTCGAGACGGAATCCGTCAGTGTAGCTGCATTCTTATCAGAGCTCGTTAAGACAAACTCCTCCAAATTCTTTATCAAATACGACAAACGATCCTTCACAACATTATTCGCCTCGAGTAGCGCAGTCAAGCGATCCTCTGAGAAGCGCAAGCTGGCAACAGTGCTGCGTGGGGACTGAGGTAGGGCGTCACGAAGGGCGACAATGAGCACAGAAACACCACTTAGTAACGTGCTAAGGCGACGGCAGACATTTTGTATTGTGCGGCGAACCAACTCCTCCTCGATATCGGTCGGTAACGACTCGATAGGAGAATCCGTATCCGCTGGAAATAATAACTGAAAGTAGAGTTTGTGTTGATATGCTGACTGCGCGTGAGGGGTATCATTTCCTAGCGTAGAAGTCCCCATAGTAATGGCAGCAGGAGTCGACCGTAGGGAGGCAATTGAAAAGAAGTAACGGCAAAAGTGAACGATAGCCTTGAGGCGAGAGCAATCAGAGTTGAGGGCATCACATGCGTTGGTGACCTCCTCCAACAGGATGCGTAGGTCCTCAGTCTCATGCGTGATTGAAATGAGTTCTGCCTGATGCTTTTCTGTATCCTTTTGGCATGATTTTCGTAATTCCTCATAATCATTTTTGATGTCATATAGTTGTATCATAAGATCTTCATTTTGTTTGATAATGTGTTCTACATCTGCACTACTTAAATCAAGTGCGCGACTTTCACCGACTTGTCCAGCGCGCTGCCCTGTGTGTTCTCCTTCAGTGACACCAATCTGATTAGTAGATACTAGTGACGAAAGTCCTTTTAGCATAGTGTGTCCAAAAGAAGTCTTCTTTCGCTCCTGCTGGAGCTCACTTTCGAGCATTGAGACTCGCTTATGCAACTTAAGATTTTCCTCTTTGAGCTGCTCACTCTCCTTCTGTGAGGCGAGGAAGTTTCTTTGTAGTTGAGCATTCTGTGCCTCCACTTCTTGTTTTTGTTTAGTCACGCTAACAATGGCTCTTTTTAACCATGAAATTTTCTTCTCATAGTCTCCTTCAGATGCCATGAGTGCGGCAATTTCGCTTGCATCTGCCATAGGTATTCCGCGTGCCTCTACTTCAGGTGAATTAATTTCAAACTAGCACTCGCTGCATAGCAAAAACAACAAGAAAGAAGAAAACAAAAAATTGCTAGTATTACCCTTCTTTTCAAACACAGGACATGTGGTGGCACACACAGCACAGGTACATATGCATGCAAGGAGATAAAAAAAAATGACGCAACAGAGTAGAACCATCTTTCACTAACAGAAACAAAATTTCTTAAATGTCCGCTGCAAAACCCCAAAGCGGTGAATCCGTGTACCATTAGAAACCCCAAAAAGAACACCATTTGCCGAATGAAGGAAAATACTCTTCTTTTTTGTTCCACTTGTATCGGTACGTATAAAAGGCCACTACACCAGCCGCACCTGCCCCGCGCGCACGTAGGGCCGAAAGGTCCAGTATGGCATCAGAAACAAATCCCCCGACTGAATCGACTGCTCCGCGTACTCCCCAACGCGCACCACACCGAGATCTACTAGGGCGAGTCCGAACACGTATGTGTTGAGGTCCGGCTCCGGCAGCACCTCCCCCCCCTCGCCGTCAGGGGGGTGGGGGACTAAATGCTGAAGGGGCTCCGGCGCCCCTGCCAGCCCGGCCTGCAACGCGGCCTGTCGGGAGGCCACTGCAAGCCGATCGGCCACGACGCGCTCGTTGTGGCTGAGAAAGCCACGCTGCGGGGAGCGGATCTCAACCTCGGGAGGGGGGGCCCCCCCTTCCAACAGGCCTTCGTAGTAGATACTCATACACATCGCCTCAATTTTCCGCAGCCGGCAGCGGAGCAGCTCGCATAAGAAAAACTGCAGTCGCTGTAGCTCCAGCGACATAATGTCCGATGGCTTAAATGGCAACAACGACATACTATCAGGCGACTCGAGCGCTGAAGCCTGCTTCTCGGCCTCCGAAAGCTGACGAACGCGCTCCTGTTGGTGAGCTATGAGGCCAACAGCGGTGTCGATAAGCGCTGCTGGATAGAGTAAAATATCAGGGCAGTGACGTTCATTCTCCGTGGCCTGTACCAACGAAGATACAAAGGAAGCGGAAACCTTTGGGGCATTGCCTTCATCCGCAATCGGAGAACTCACACTGCCCAAACGCGAAGGTAGTTGAGCACTACTTTCTGGTAGACTGGGAGGGTGTCGATGGGGAACTTCAATGGAGCGATGCTCACCATCCCCATTATTAACTACCTCTTTGAGTGAACTCTCTGAGTCAGAAGTATCAGCTAAACGATCCTCGAAAAACATGAATATTCTTCTGGAACACCATACGTGGAAAATAGACCAGTTTGGAAGAATCTAGAATACGTAAAGCAAAGCTATATTTCAGGTGGAACATCAGTCTAGTCATAAAGTTCTGGAAAAAGATATCATATTGCTTCAAACTGTAATCTATGAAGAATTTCATAGCGTCCCAAATGTGATATCCTTAATCATTTTGAACATTATTTCAATTATTACAGCGATTCACGAAAACTGCAAAAATGCATCAAAGAGGCGAAGCAGGCAACACATAAGAAGCAGCTAGCTTCATAAGAAGAATAAAAACCAGCAAAGTACAGCATGATGATAATGATCTGTCTAGCGTTCGTAAAAAAAAATAATTGTCAATAATAAACTCAATTTCGACTTTTTCCGTAATTAAATCATCTATGGGGGAAAAAGGAGCGAGCTATCTGGAAGTATTACCGGATTAATTAAGAGAAGCAGTGCCATTCCAGGGCTTATAGCCACGTTTCTTTCGTAAGGCTAGCATATTATTTAAATGCTTTTGCATCTCCTCCTGCAGTGCGGTTGACAAAGAGCGTGCATCCACCGCATTCACATTGTACTCAAATTTACCTAAGTAGACATAGATGTCGGCAGGGTACCCAGGTGCACCCTTCAAATTAGCAGGCCATACCTCATGATTGCCATATGAAACAGCGTAGTAAAGGGGCAATTTGTGGGTAATAATAGTGTTGAAACTGCCTAAACGGAGCTCTTTAAGTACCTCTGGTGTTCGATTGAGGGCACCCTCAGGGAAGAAAACTAAGTAGCCACCTTCACCCAGGAACTTCTCCACACGAGCACCCACCTCAACCTGTTTTTGCTTATCCACTTTAAAAGACGAATTACTCTCATCAACAAAATAGACTGGAAAGTGGCCACAAGCTTTAATAACGTATCCAAAGAGCGGGAGACTCCAAAGAGTAGCCTTGTTAAATGTTTTTGAATGTGAAATATAGTTAGTTGGAGCCGACAAAAGGAATAAAACTGCATCAAAAAAGCTTGCATGCGTTAAACACATACAGTGCTGATTTCTAATATCCCCCCAATGGAGGGATCCACTCATGTACTCTACATGAATGTGTGAATTATAAAAGGGCATAACGTATTTGAAGATTATGGAACATGCTGAACGGGATAAACTTTCTGAGGTGCTCAAACCATAAAGGTTAAGAGTCTTTGACAGAAATGTAATGATGTGACACGCCACCCAGGATAAAATAACTTGCAACACTATGTTCAGCGAAAACCACAGACGCATAACGCCGACAGGCAGCTTGCGATAGTGAAGCAGCTGTATAAATATGCCATAAAGCACGAACAAAGAACTCCAGTATACCATAGAGTGAAATTCAAGAGCACAGCGGGAATATTAAAAAATATCAAAAGCAGAAGTTATGGTAATAAGATGCTGAAACGGAGGTTTCTTGGAGGTTAAGTAATAGCGTGTGAGAAGACTGATGTATTAGTTACTCAAAGTTAAGTAGATGTCTAAAAGAAAGTTGCTAACAAAGAAAATGTGGTAGAGACAAATTATATCCTTAAAATGAAGGTTGCAGTCAGAGGTAATATATAAATTCATTCTGTTTGGGACAAAATACTTAATAATTTTTGAAATATACAAATATATTCATTCCACATACATACATACATACATACATACATACATGTATATATATATATATATGAAAATTGTAACTGTGAAGAGTGACCAAAAAATGAAAGAATATTACCGTGAACTTTGTTTATTTTCAATATAAAAAAATATTGTCTGTTTTCCCACTAAATGTCACAATATTGCCCCCATTAGGGACACAACATAAAAGCTCAACCTAATTGATGTCTCACAATATAAAATCACCAAACCAAAATATTATATATGTTCCTCTCTTATTACCATTAAAAGATAAAATGCATTGTATGCCCTCACATGCTTATGAAAATTGATAAATCATACATAATTTCCGTTTTTGATTCATGTCGAATTAATAGTAATAATACTAATCATCATCATCATGAGGGTGAAAGTGCATAAAATACATTTTGTCAACCCATATGTCATCGAGAGGTGATGAAAATAGCATTTTGCCTTTCATGCTAGACGAAGAGATGTATAACAGAGAGTCCTTTTTTATTTGTATAATAATGCAATTAGCATTTGATCGCCTTACACTAAAGTACTTGAACAACTATAAATGGATACATATACGTACAAATACAAATATATCTCTGCATGCTGGCGAAGTCAAAAAAAATGCTTGGTGCTAAGAAAGGGTTCTGGAAATGGAAGATACAAGAAAGCACTCTAAATAATTCTGAAATCTTCCGTGCTTTAAAACAATAATTACAGGATTTGATAAAATATTTAATAGTAACTATGAGCTTATGAGGCTGATATATATAGCGAGATCATATTAAAGATTCCAGTACTGCAAGGCAACAAAAGAAACAGATGAGATGAAAAAGCGGTCTATCATGCCTTGAGCGCTCCATTACCGTTTATTTTCCTTTGTCAAAGTGTGTAAATTTCCTAATTCAGTCTGAAGGGGGGGGGGGGGACTGGATTAGCACTTGATTATACGGAGAAAAAAAATAACTTTATGAAGACCTCTAATCATATACCACTTCCAAAGTCTGATGATATAATTCAAGAAAAACAGCAGTACTATACACTCTCGAGAACAAAAGTGCAACACAAATTGTGCTCATCCTTTAAATATAATTCTTTAAATTAGTTCATGTAATGATGCCGAAGGACAAAGAACCTTACTTTCATATTCCCTTAAACGGGGAAAGGAATCATAATAATGAAAATTGAACCATTTTTAAATGAAAAGAGTAGTTTTTCATTGAGAACGATGAAAATTGAATAAAGCTCAAAATAGTTCTCAGTACAATCATAAGTTTTCCCCTTGTTTAAGTACATCTGGTGCAGATAAACAAATACATCTCGATTTTGAACACTAAATAGTATGGACAAGGACTTTTCCAATTGATGCCTTATTGGATCACAATACATACCATAAAATTGTCACAAAGAAGGGTACAAAGAGAAAAGGATGCAACCTTTTGAGCTTGCATAAGTTATACTTTTTAGAGATTTTCGCATATCCAGTTTGTCCATTTTAACATTTCTAAAAAAAAATTCGCTCGGAACTTGGATCAAACGGTACCACAGTGTTTTACTACTTCACAAGGGTATGATATATTAAGTACATATTATGTTTACCCGGAACTAACTGTCTATTTCAAGAAGAAAAGAAGTTACATGCTATGTCAGTGGCATATATTCTAACAACGAGGAAAAGAATAAAGGAAAAAAGAATATTACAACAAGTTCACTCTTAGGGTGTGTTAAATGGGGGGAACAAAAGGATGTTGTTCTTTTGGATTTGTCTCTATTAAAATCAGAAGTAAGAATTTTATCGTGCATATAACACAAATTTATCGATTTATCCAAAATTCTATTTAAGTAATAGCTTTGCAATATAATCTACACTTTTCAGGGCTCACACGCACGATTTGGAAACGCAGATGAAGCTCTCCATGAAAAAAAAACTTACGTAGAGGGTTATAGAACGAGTGGGACGGTAAAATGTTTGCCATTTCAACACAAAAATGAAATCCCACATTCATATGCAAATAGGAAAATGGTAGTCTAGTGCTCTTCCGAGTATCCAACTATCGTACATATCACTACAAATCCTCAGAATCAAATTCAAACCACATTTCCATCATTCAGTATGTATACTCTCTACAGAAGTTTCATCGGTATAAAAAATAGCATCAATAGGAAGAAAAAGGACAATAATAGCCTCTAACCTATGAATTATTAAGAGCTTTTTCCCCACTTATGAGTTTCCGTACAAAAAAGGCTCCTACACGTTCAGCTTATGGACTTTTTATTTATTCGCTTTCATTGTGCGTGCCAGCTACAAAAAAAAAAGAAAATAAAAAGTACGATGTGCTTTGATGGATTTCTTTTCCTTACACAGCGATAAAGTAACGACACATTCGACACGAGGCAGGAAAAAGTTGTAAGCCGACAGAAGGATAGGGTGCGCTCACAGAAAAGGGGGTGAAATGAAATTAAATGGGGGAAAACATTACGGACACCTTACAGCGAAACGCGTTTAAAATCCATTTGCCTAAGCCAGGGCTATGTAAGAAAAAAGATAAGTTTGTAAGCAAAAGTACAGAAAAGAAGAGGTAGGAGATTTGGAATCTTGAATACACGAAACAGTCCCACACTGATCAAGAGAAACCAAATCAAGTTTAGTAACGGCGTCATGCAAGTGTTAGCATAAAAATTATTCAACATAATCCATTAAAAATAATTGGAGAAGGAAAGGAATGTGTACAAACCCAGTGCGCATATTACTTCATTATATGAATTCTTTATGTTCGTGGAATCATAAGCAGTAAATATTTCCCGCACAACGAACTCAAAACATTATTGAGGATGCTGGCCGAAGTGACGGGGCATTTTTTTATCTCTAAATAAAAAATTCAACTAATACGGATTACTTTTGTCGATATTATAATTACTCTGGCCATTTGGGCTGTAGTGAACTATGTAATTCTCTCTTTTCTTTTTATTCCTTTGCATACGCATCCTTACCAAATTACTCTGCCAGAAGCGCAGCCTGAGGGAGAATTCCCCATCTAGGCTCTGGCAAGGCTAATGGTGGGATATCTAAGAGCGCCGTTGTGCCGGGCACAATGCGAGTGCCCAACGGAGGAGGTGCTAAGAACCCCCTCACACCCATAAACCTAGAGAATTGCTTTCCCTCTTTAGGTGTAAACGAACTGCGATTCGTATGATAGCCAAGTGGAAATTTGGTGTGCACACTGGCTCCTGTAGGACTGTTTAACCGTTCAACTGATGCAGTACTGCTGCCACTAGGTTGTTTGGCTTTAGGATAAGGAAAGTTGGAGGAACTCTCACGCCTACAGAGGCCCATTGGTTTCGAAGGCGACACAGGCTCAGACAACTTACTCAAAGACGTCTTGGGCATATCCCACATCTTCGGTGGGACCAACAAATGGTGCGCTGAGGGGGAGGCGGAAACGGGTACCATCGTCAGACAACTCTGATCGATGTTGGGCATGAGATTCAACCGCGTTGAAGCGGAGGCAGTTGCAGGGGCGGTGTTCGGCGAGTGCATTGGTGAGGAGGCACCCATATAAGGTGGCTCTAGGTAGGCAAAACCAGGAGTAAACGCCGAGTTCACACGATTTGGAGAGGGTTGCTGCTCCTGGCCAAGCGGTCCCAGTAAAAAGAGAGGCACGGTTTCCGAGCTGGGGGATTGTCCCTGGGGCGCGAACGAATGCGCAAAGGGTTGTCTGGTAGTGGGGATAGGGCCACCAAGGGTTGCATATCTCGTCAAATCGAAACGATTGACGTCGTAGGCTTGGTTTGATGAAGGTACAACCGCGTAGGAAACGGGGTATGCATTAACACTCAGTACGTGAGACCCACTAGGAACCGAATCTGGAGAAGCTGATCCCACAGGTGGGAGCATGGTGCCTTGGACGAGTTGCAGTGCAGGCCCCGTCGAGGTGGAGTGAGGGGCGGGCACATAGAGGACACCTTCACTATTACCTGAGTGACTAGCGACCGAGGTAATGGGATCAAAAACGTAGATAGTGTCGGAATTCATGAATTCAGATACTAGGAAACAAAAGGACGATTCTGTATTTTTTTTACTATTGTTAGTGGATGTCTCGTATCAGTAAGGAATAAATTACGAGACGATTGACAAGAATGAAAATCAAGAACCTAGAACCAAAATTCCTTGTGAACAGCACGTTAAAGATATATTCGATAGAGCTACGTTTCTAGAAGTTAAAAATAAAAAGAAACGGTGAACAATAAAACGATTGAAAAAAATCAGACTTGTATCACGAGTTACCTACTGTTTTGTGTTGAAATGACTATCGATCAAAAGCTCTTTACTTTGATTGAGTGGAATTGCTTCCTTTGTCCTCTTCACTCGTTAAGCTGATGCCTTAATTAGCTTTATATAATATATAAATAGATGTAAATTATTGTTACTGACTTTCAGAAAAATGATGACGCTTTTCTAATCTGATTCTTCTAAAAATATTCGATTCCACGTTTTTAGAACAATAATTAGCGTCGAAGAAAAAGAAATTGAAGTTTAAATTCTAATGTGAAAAGAAGAAGAAGCGAACTATAAAAAACTTGAAAAAATGTAAAGAGAAAAGAAAGCTTTTGAGTCGCAAAAATGAATGTGAATAGGTGTTTTAAAACAAATTTTTTCTAGCTTGTTATCACCCTCGATAAATTAGAGAAAAATTCAAAGAAAGTGAGTAACCTTAAAGTCTTGATATTCGAATGTAAATGGCAACCATCAAGTGTCATCAGATATATTTACAAGCACATAATAGATACCTTAGAATGATTTCCTCATTTATGAAAATAGGTGATTGTTGCATCCCTTATAAAGATGCAAACACATCATAAAATCAGTAAGTGTCGTTAGTGCGGAAGTTAAATCAAAAATAAACCCTAAAGGACAATTAATTGTTCAGTAGATTTAGCTGCGTCTACTGCCGAACATAGAAATACATCATCGCCAGAGAAAATGGGGGCTTTCTAGAAACACCCACCTTCTCATCATTAAACAGTACCCACTGAGAAGTATCTGAGTCTTGAACGTGACAAACGTAATGCCCTGATTTTGAATCAGCACCCATGTGGCTAATCATAGCTTTTAGCTTGTAAGATGGCACCCCATCCGTCGCGACAGATGGCCGCAATACTGCAGCTTCCGGAAAGGAAGAGTCCGTTGGATTCTCGTGTTGAGCACCGGCAGCGGATGCCTCGTGTTGGATATTCGGGTGACTAAAGATGTAGTCCAGTGCGCGCTCCACATTCATATTGGTTTGCTTAAGTGCGTATTTTGCAATGTCAGGCTCAATGTCCATGCTCATGATGGTCGCAAGCGCTATCTCATCCACGTCGGTGATGTCAAGCTCCTCTGACGACTTATTCTGGATATTGCTAGAGTCCTTAGGCATCTCAACCTCGCCATTTTGCAATCCATGCGCCCGATAAGCCTCTAAGCTAATTTTTTCTGGTACATCGACGTAAACATCCATTTTATTGGTCGTGAATGTTTTCATGTCAAAGTTAACACGACGCAGGTGCACGAGCAAGACATCAGGAAAACTATGTATTCTGGTAGTAATCTTGCAAACGACGTCCCCCCCACAGGTCTCACACTTGCATTCAACCATGTTTGGGCTTGCCATGCTTTGGAGACAGTCCTCAAGTGAACAGCACGGTATCTGGGCTTCTTTTTCCTCCGGCGTCAAGCTAGTCATACAGACATTATTCGTAATAGGGATAGGTAACGAAAGACACTTCTCTTTATTTAGGGTATACCGTACCCGATGGCATTGGGTACATTCTAGGCGTTGCTCCATCAATATCTCAAAAATCTCAGTCGGATTTAATGAGGTTAAATGTTGATTAACTGGTTTTGTGTGGCGCTTCATTTCCTCTAGAAGGTACAAGCAGTACTCTTGTGCGTCCTGTTGCAGACATGTTGAAAAATCCGGATGATTTGCAGCATACACTTTCTTAAATAAGCGTGGGCTAATACCTTTATTCTCTTCATCAGCCTTACTGAACTCCCCGGAGAGCAAGCCTGAGGCTATCCGCTCAGTTTGACAAGTCCGACAGGCGTACGGATCGATCCAGCAATGGTCTTGATGGAGGCAAGAACGACTAGAATAAAACGCGTCTCGAAATGCTTCTAAGCTCATGAGGCACTGCAGCACGGATGCGATATAACACGTGTTACCGATGTTGTATATACCGGTGCGTCCTGGACCGTATAAAGGCACCAGTTCCGCCCCGTCCTCCATAATTTGCTTAAAGTTCCACTGCATAGAGTAATCGTACTCTATCTCTCCCATTGTCTTTGCTGTCTTCTTCGACAATGCTACGTCAATATTAAAATGTCTCATGTGAGTGACAAAGTGCACGTCAGAAACATCATCATCACAAAGATAACAGTAGTAGTCCGCACCATCTGGGGTGATGGTCCCAAGCTTGACCACAGTGGGGTGCCCGGTGATCTGGTAATGCTGAAGCGCATGACCTTTTCCACCTGACTCCCTCCGCGGGCAGCCGACGGCACCACACGTTACACACATCCAGTTGTTAAGTTTGCAATCACATTGCTCCACAGAGCAGGTGCTCTCAGATGAAGGGAAAACACCCTCGGGATATGGGCTCGTCATCTGCTCCAGGCATACCAAATGGGGGCATTGCGGTTTGAGGAAACCAGCATTTTGGGTATCGCTCACGGCATCCTGGGCACCCGGCAGAGAAGCCTGAGTGATCCCATGGTAGCTATCCACAGCTAGCTCAGGAATACTACTCAACTTCAACTTGCATGCGCCACAACAAACCGTGTATGAGTACTCCTTCTCTTTTATAACACCGAGTTGGGATGTGGACTTCACCTCCTCATTATCCGTTTTCTCTGGAAGTTCCTTAATCAGTGTAAACATAGTATGCGTTGGGGATAGGGATCTATGCTTCATTATATGATCAGCGCAGATCCCAGTGAAACAGTTCATGCATACGTAAATTCCTTCATTCATCGAACATGTGCGACAACAATAGGCGCACTCATCCTTATTGACCACACTTGAAGCGGGAAGTCGCATAGCCGATTCATCCCAACAATGAGGGCATGCTTCCTCTGATTCAGTAAATAGCATTGAGTATATATACCTTGTCAAATATTTTTCCCTTTAAAGGTAAAAGTAGAATATTAAATAGAACCAGTTTTCGATAAAGATTACCCGATCACCAATTTACCAAACAAATTAATTACACGATAGAATTTCGACGGTGGAGTATTGGTTTTATTCAAAAGACTGAAAATATTGGTATTTAAACCTGCATTTAATAAATGTGGAATGTTAATATTTATGTTAACAATTCCAGCAATCATTAATAGCTATATGAAGTTGAAAATTTTAAGGCTAACGAAACATTTGAAGCTTTAAGTCACATATGTAATAATACTAATGAATGGCTATTCACGATAGTAAAAAGGATCTACCTACCTTTTGCTGCATAACAGTAGACACACAAAGACAGGCAAATGCATGGATACAATTCTGTACATATGTATTGGTGTGCTTACGTGACGTCTCAATCCGAAAAAGTGTCGATATTTATTAGTGAGCTCTACTTTAGCATATCAAATTAACTTCATTATTTTGAATATAACTGGAATGCTTGCAATGGGGGAAAACTCTCTCACATTTCATGTTATTTTCTGGCAAGACATCTTCTAAAGCACACTTGCCCGATCCCTATAGCAATTCAGATGCCGCTTGGAAAAGTCCATAAAATAAGGTTGCATTCAAGTGTCATTGGGAGAAAAGCCAACTAAAGATTGTAGCAATTTTGGTTGTTAAACCCTCATGTCAAGACTTTCCCACTCGAAAGTGGTAACAAAATTGCACACGATCTATGAATAGGTGTCTGCCATGAAAGAAATCCATCCACTGGCCCTATTGGATCCCATGATGAATGAAAAGTCCTTATAATTTAATTTAATCCTCAAATTTCCCATTCGCATCCTCTTGACATATGCTCTTAATGGATTTTAATAAACATATATGTATTTTTTTTTGATAAACCCTTTGAAAAAGAAGATACAATAAAGGGATCTAGTTAGTAGCTACATTTTTGTCGGGGCTCCAAATCATAGGGAATGATAACGATGACCACAATTCATGATAGCCTTTGATATTTTGACGCAAAAAGAAAATGATATGCCTTTGATGAGCATATCTACTTAGCCCCTCACCAGATAATTAAAAATACTAAAAAAAGAAAACGTGTATCCGTGACAATAGTACCCTTGTGCGTTTCCTTTATAATCGTGACAAATAAAACGAAAATGACTTGAATACGTAAAAATAAAAACTGATTAAAATTAAAAAATTTCCACTTGGTGGTAAGCTGCAAATAAACGTGAAAGCAAGTTATATATCATAAGCTTCAAATCTGGTATTATTAAAGCGTGTAAGGATGCACAATGTAGCAGGACATAGCTTCATTAAGCATTTAGATACGCTCAAGAAGAAACAAAAAGCAACTAAAATATACTAAGATATTAGCTTATCCAATTTGGCATCCATATCCCTCTGTAAAGACTCCTGCGACCTCTGTACGTGCTTGTTTTTTTTGGCATCACTGCTAATTAAACATGACATGTATTCAACTGCTAACCTGACATTTTCGATGGCCACTTCGACTGTCATGTCCTTCAGAAAAGGATGCTTTAAAAGCTCTGCACACGTTGGTCGTAGGTTTGGATCACGTGTTAAACATAATTTGATAAAATCCTGTGCTGCATCCGAATAAGCTGGCTTCTTTGGCAATGTTGGTACAGTGTCACCAGAAATTTTTTTGAGAAGTTCAAAAAGGTTCATCTCTTCAGGAGGCGCCCATGGATTTTTCCCAGTTATGGTGGCCACCATGGTGAGACCCAATGACCATACATCACTGCTGAATCCATAGGCTCCTTGCTCTAGTCTTTCAGGGGCCATAAAGTACATAGTGCCGACATAAGTAGAGGAAACATCCAACGTCTGCATAAACTTCGAAACACCAAAATCAGCTATCTTCACGTGACCTTGACTGCTGATAAGCAAATTACTTGGTTTAATATCTCTATGAATAACCCTCTTTTTATCATGGAGATAATGAAGGCCCGATACCACTTGAAAAAATATACTTTGGAGAATAGACTCTTCAAGGCCTTCCCAAAAAAAACCGAGGTCTTTCACAGTGCAAGCCATCCATTCCATTGGAATAACAATCGCTCCATCTTCTGCATCCCAGTAGGCTCCATAGTTCTTCACAACAAAAGGACAATCAACCCGTGTGTTAAAGAATTGAAGTTCCCTATCTATTTCATCACGATGTGTTTTCGACGATATAGGAATTCGCTTCAATGCTATTGGTGTGCCGTCTTTATGACGTGCGAAGAAGACATCGCCACTGGCCCCGCGGCCTATACTACGTTTGGTTGAAAAATCAATGTCATCCTTACGTACAGTACCATGCAACTGGTGACCATCCTTTGTAAATAGCCCTGATTCATTCAAACAGAAAGCCCGCAATTGCAAGGAATTATTGCTTTTAATTTGATACGATTGAATATCTTTTTGATACTTTTCCAGTGACGCAGCATCCAACACAAGTCCTGATCTTTTTTTCATATCGAACCCTCCTACAAAAATGTAATAACTTATTGTGTCTGGGTAAATGACCTGATTTCCGTTATCATAACTATTAGCTTGAACTAGTGACCCTTAAATATCAAAAGAAAGTACAGGAAATAAGAATTATTGGCTATTCAGATTGAATTAGTTAAGTATTCGATTGGAGAAGACGATTAGTTAGAAACTTACAATTGGAAAGAACCCACTACATTGATTTAGAATTGCTGCAGATAATAGAATTCATTTTAAGTCAATGAGAAGAAGCAATGAGTTCATCAGAAATCATCTATACAAATACATTCGCTTGCTTCATATAGTGTACTGGATATGGGATTTATATGAAGAAGTGAATTACCTCGCTTAGGATAATGTTTCACATCATTATTAGACAACGATTCAAATTTCTACTCATCAATTCCTAGCTTGGCTACCGATAAAGTTCTGGAACGCAGTTAAAAGACTGCATTAAACTCAATATATGTTAAAAGTAGACTGAACATGTTTTCATCTGTAAAGTTGTGGGTTTTTACATTTTTGCTAAGCTTAAAGTTACAAATGGAGTGCCGGTAACAAGTACTATGTTATTCAAGAATCCTGATGAATAAACAGAAAGCGTACTAGAAACGGATCACATAATCATGCAGGTTTGAAAGAGTATGTAAATAATTGGAAACATCTCATCCTTCCAACAAAATACACTGATCATAATTTCTTTGGTTCACACTGGTCCATTCAATCTCGATAGACCTGGATTCTGCACCGTAGGGCCTGAATTATTATCGCTCAACTTTCATGAATTCAGATCCTTATACATTCTTGCATGTATATTCAAATTAGTCCTTGGCCCAACAATACCCTTTGAAATAGAAAAATCAGGGGTTTCTAAAACTCTGAGCGCTCGAAATAGGCAAATTCTTATCAGCTTTTACCTCTTTATTAAGGCTCAGGGATACTTGTTTCATCTGCCTAAGTGCTACATATCAACAAGCGTTAACTCCGCGTTCCTCCTATTTCTTAATCCATACTACCCTCATCCAGCTTCAAATCACAATAGTAATGAAACGCATCGAATGTACAAAATGCTTCGTCAAGGGTTCGCACAAATTGAAATTTTGTAACGTCATCGTTAAGCAAATCACTAGATCCCACCAAGTAATGATTTGCACAACTGAACGATAAAGCATGACGCTCAGAAACTCGTTAGGTGCTAACTCAAGTTATCCAACAGAAAAAGGAGTTAGTAGTTCGATAGTACTTACCAAATATTTATTGTACATTTTGACTTGAGTTTTTCTAATGAGTTAGTTAGAGTCTAAGGCGAAGTGCTTGTATTTCATCATACGATCCGAGAGGCCATGCTTATGTTTGACAGTACTTCTAGAAAAAAAAATATGAGATAGGTACCCACAAACAAAGACCAAAGATAAAAGAAACCGTAATGGAAAAGCATAAGAATAGCAATTATTATGTTCCTCAAGAAGGGAAAGGGAGTGAAAACGATCGTACAAATAGACCTTAGCTTTGTTGAATGAATGTTTAAGTATTATTTATGTATAATGCCTTGCGCTGTAGCGTTTTCAATGAGAACGCATTAATCGGCTTCAACCGCAAGAAAGGGATTTTGGAAAACATTATCAAACGCTTCCAGTGCATCTGAGTGGAAGATACTATCCGCGGTGGAATTTTCTTCAAAGAAACGGAAAAGGGAATCTTTACGAGCTCGGTCGGTGCCCTCTTTCCAGTGAATAGGCTGAATAGAAACAGTGTTCATATCCGTGTCAATTTCATGACTAATCGTCCCGCCTTCAGCAAATATGCTTCCGCGCAAGACCAAACAAACTTTCCTTATTAATTTGTTTTCTTTTACAGTAGACACTACTTTAAAATCAATAATTGTACGAATAATCTTAGGGTCGATGGTACTGTTGATGAGCGTGTTTAATGCGGTTTCTGGAGACGAGAAAACTCCAGACCAGAAGCCTTCAAGGGTTGACAATGTCTGGTGTCGCTTTTCAAGGAGTGGCTCCATTTTTAGTCGATAGCTGAGACGTATCTCCTCAGCTTTTTTCTCGCGTTCATCTTCTATGTTATTTAGTTCCTTGGAAAACCCCTCAAGCTTTTCCATCGCCACAGCTGAAGGAGCTTCAATAGTTGTCATATTCAAAATAATACTTTTTCACACTAAAACCTTTTCGAGAATCTAAGTTTGGAGGAAAACGATTTCAGCTGAACACGTGTACGAGTTAAAGTCTATTGACGCTCTTCTCGATTCGGAATAAACAATAAGAATAAATCAGAGTATCGTACACTTTTGCTTTTTGATGCTGATGTCACCGGATACATTTTCAGAAAAGTAGAAATAAAATTTATACTTTCTTCGCTAAGGATACACCAAATTTGCATGCCAACCTTATCGAGTTGTATAACAATGGGTACGCAGGAGCCTGATCAGCACCATTTTGTTCACCAAGCTCCTGATGGTGCTTTTCCTCATCACGAAACTTTGCAACAATATCTTTGATCGATTTCCATTCATTAGATTCCTCCGCTGTCTCAACCACACCCTCTAATGACTCATCAAGCATCTCCATTTCGCGCAGCTGATCATTATAATGATCAAAAATAGTTACCTCGACTGCAGCGTGGCAACACATCATAGCTTCTTTACCAAGTACAGCTGTTCCCGCACCTAGTACAAAAGCAGCCACCTTAAAAAGAGGATCAAGTTGGGTTGTTTTTATACCATGCTGATTTACAAGATCATTCATCACTTTTTCATGAACCAATTCATCATCCAGTATTTCATTTACAATTGGAACAGCATCATTTAAAGGCGACATCCAGTTTAATTGGTGAGACGCAATACGGACCGCAGCGACCTCTCCAGCATGATCAACACGCAGAATTTCATCGATTTTCGCTTGCTTAATGTTTGCTGTAAAAACTGGGCCGAGAGCAGCTTTCGAAATACGCAGAATCCCCCTCATTGGATGCTTGAAGTTTAAGAAATGAAAATCCTATGAATATCTAAAATGAATGACCTCAATACCAATAAACAAGGCAAGTAGTAACTTTACTCCTAGTTTAAAGAAAAATACGTTATGCCACCTTGGCTCCCAATAGCGCCTAAAAACTCTAAATTGTCCCGGCATCCCATAGTCTGGATGTAGGAACAATCATCCATGCTTGCTTAAAAGGCCCAAGGGCTCCCTTCACACGAACAAGGATATATGTATTTCCTCTTAGCCCCTCTGGGAGACATATTGATATAGTTTCATGAGATATTATACTTTATTTGCTGATTATTATTTCTTCGCCTACGTCACAGTTATGCACACCTCAACTCATTCATTGGATACAACTCTTAACAACATACGGTAGAAGTGCTCTTTCAATAGCAGCTGTATTGACTTCACAAGTGTTTTTTTCTCCTGAAACATTTTTACACTTTCAGAAATAATCCAAGATAGACAAATGCTGATAGAAGAGCTCATGCAGCTGAATTCTGCCCCCCCAATGGCCACGTTCGACAAGACATGAGCCAATGGCTCGCCTAGTGCGTAAAAAATAAAATGAATGGGATATTGACAATAAGTGGGTGAATATAGATTACGCATAAACTGTGAGTGCGGACCTTGTTCGGAAGTAAGGATGGCTACAGGCCGCCCAGCCGCCGACCCCATAGTAGGCGCAGCGGGACAGCTTGCCCGGCGGGGTTCCATAAGGTGGTTTTCACAGCTACAATGACCTTCAAAAGCACGTACTTTACGTCATAAACTCATGCAACTATTTGGAGATAGAGGATATCGCCGCGGCCGGGGCCCCCCTCTTGCACAGAACCGTGATGCGCAGACAGTTAAATAAATCTGTAATATTAGCAAATCAGGACCCAAGCATTGTATATAAATAAGAAATAGAAATATGCATTATTTTTTACGCAATAACAGCATTAACACACACATCGGGAATTTTTTTTTACACAAGGTTGAATAAGGAGATGGAGAATGAAGCAAAAAATGAAGAAAAAACAATGGCATGCCCGGGGAAGGGTATACCCCGGGGGAGGCCAAGAACCCTGTGCCTGAAGCAAAATGATAACGTAATTTCTGAATGGAAAAATATGGAATAAATTCTAGCTTATCAATCTGAAATGAGTGTAAAACCCGCCCACCTTGGGCGAAACCTTGTGGAAGAACCCATCCAGCATTCAGATGACTTAATTTTCCCCATGACATTGCAATATCTTTATGAAAATGGCAGGCGCACGGGTAGAGACGTCAAAAATATGTTGATATTACCTTTAAAAGATAAAAAATCAGTAGACAATGTTTTATAGGCGCCAGATTTGAGAGAATGGACGAATAAAGATCAGCTGTGCCGCCTAAAAGATCCCAATGGTTATTTTCACCGGAACCCATATATTCTTCTGAGGCCCGGGTGCACTCCCCCCCCCCCCCAGGAATATATATATGCTGATATGTTCTGTTAAAAGCACAAATAAATGAACTATTAGTCAATTAAATAGTCTTAATTAATATTATATTGCCGTATTGGCCTACTTCCGAAAAAATGTAAGCTTTTTCCGGCCCCGCCAATGGCCATCACCAATTGCACGCAGGAGGGAGGGGCAATTTAATAGCCACCACCTCCGAAGATATGGGCCAACCTGATGATTTGGTTTATGCGTTGAACATAAAAATGGTTTGAAGACTCTATGGATAAAATTTATTAGATATGAGTAATGCTTCTGTAAATCTTCAACCCGGCCATAGGTTTTATAGCCCTGAAGACATCGCCATCCACTCCTGTGGCCAAATATAGATCTGTAATCTAAAATTTTCCCAGATATGTGTAAATAACTATTTATTATTATTATTATTTACTGATAATTACAAAGATATAAATAAAAGAGTATGAAAGGAATGTGAAAAGTAGCTTCATATTTATAGATTAAGATACTTAATATGAATGGAAAATATAAAACAATGGATATTAAATACATTAATGTACCTTTTAAAAGATCGAATCAAATTATGTTTAACATAAAGATATAATTTTTATGGTGGTGTGAAAAAAAAATTGGAACAATACGCATGCTGACTTGGCGTGGCTTCAGGGCACCTAGAGGAAGGTTTGCACAAACTGATTATTAATGCAATACAGTAAAAAATTATAAATCTTTAAAAGTGCAAATTTTTATTAAAACACTGGTATATTGTAACATTTGATAGTATTAGAATAAATTAATGAAGTTCTATGCATATACACACACTGAATCTTAGTCAATCAAGCACTACAATGGGTATACTTTAGCGGGGGGGGGGGGGGGAGGTTTGAGTAAAATGATAGCCTAACCATAGCATGGCATGGAATGGCTTCTAATAAGATAGATAATGGTTAATTTGAAATAATTGATGTATTCAAATCAAAATAAATAAAAAAAAGTTAGATTTTCTGTCAATAAAATATAGGCAGTAATTTGCCAGCTCAGATGCCACATACGCGGCTTCCACTCTATGAGAATTCTCATATATTATAAGTAATTTACTCTAGTGAATTTTAATAGATTTTTATTTGAAAGACCATGAAATTCAAAAATTTCAATTTTTTAATGATTTGATATATTTAAAAGAAACATGCGTTGTAAAATATTAGTTATTGTCGCTGATCCATATGAAAGTGCCCATGGGCCATTGCGGGCGCGGTAGATAAGAATCAGGAGTATTTCATTAATTTATTTTTAATTAATATACTTTTTTTAAATTAATTGACCCTTAACAGTTATTTTGTGATATGAAAATAAAACCTTCCCCCTATGGCGGTCACATGGTTCCCCCCCCAGGCGTGTGGGCCCACAGGCTATAAGGCACAACTTGTTGAATAGCACAGGTGTGATTTTCAATTTTACAAAAAAAAAAATGAAAATATTTAGAATTAATCAAAGATATGGAAACCTCATTAATATTATAAAGGATGTAGGCTTACTGTTGCGGAGGGCGTGGGGGGTCTCGTATCACACACCACATTGGCCCGGGCTTTGCTAAAAAATTTTTAACTACATGAATAAAAGTATGTACAATTGATTTTGTTATGTATTACATTAATAGATTAATTCAATGATGTAAATTCCTATGCAGGATATAAACAAACCCAATTGGCATATGAATTTTAAGGCAACCCGGGGGCCTGCGGTTGGCTTCTTCACCCCGGGGCATTGGGTTTACTATGCATTGGTGCTTTTCAAAGTATATCCCTCGTATATGGTAAAATCTCGCTATGGCTAAAAAAGTATGAGTTTTTAGAATAATCATTGTTAAAAAATTTGAAATCTTACATCGATAGATCTTTAATACCCGGGGCGAAGCGCGAATTTGAGTGCTATTCATATGGGCGCGTTTGGTTGGCCTCACCCCATACCATATGTAATCTTAATTGTGCCATAAATATAATAAAATTTCAATAATCAGAAAAAAACTTAGAATATAATTGCCTATTGCTCTTTAACGACCAAAATTTTTCATTGTGGTGGGGGTTGGGTTCGGCCCTCCCCCGCCACGCCTATCCATGTCCTCCTCCTCCCTTTATTTTTTCCAAATGGGATAAGTTATATGGGCACCTTCCATAAATTGACTTAAGCTAAGCGATGGGAATAAATATAGTTTGACCTAGCCTTGGGCATGAAGCAAGCATTTGTGTTTTTTAATGGCTTTCAAACCATCGGATTCCGGGGTGGGCATTTTTTCACATGGCTGGCGGGATTCCATTGGTGGGCATCTTGGGGGTGTGCACATCGCGGGCGCAAGGTTCCACCATTCATTGAAGTTAATCATACAACCTAAAGTGTGCATTTTGTCCATGATATTTGAAAAAATTCAGGGGTGGCCGTTGCCAATTGCGTAAATTGTCATGGCTGGCGTGCTATTGGTGGTTTCAAGGGGGGGGGGCAACGAGGCCGACGCGCCTTTTCAACTTACCGAAGGCAGCGGTTGAATATCCACTTCGGCGTCTTTTTTTTTCTAAGAACCGAAAATCTCGTTAGTTAATTGTTTCTCGGAAGTTCCACAGCACAGAGAAACTCAGCAAAAAATGAGGCTTGAGGGGGGGCCTTGGCGCTCCTGCGCCCCCGGCCCCCGTGTTCTGCACCCTCCTTGCCCATTCCGCTGGGAGGGGAATTGTATTTTTTTTATTGCGTAATTATTTTTCAGAATAAGGCAAAGAGGCGTCCAACGGGGTTGCCGGGGAGTCGTAATGGGACGTGATGATTAGCTTTTATTGTATTGTCCCTGGGCGTTAAAAAGATTTCATGAAATAATTACATAATTGTAATAATTTATCTCTGCATTCTTTTTCCTCATAGTGTATGCGCTTCTCCCGCTCGCTCTCCAAATAAGTTATCAATGCTTTGTATTGGTTTATAATTTTTTTTGCTGCACTAGCCTTGGGGTGGCTTTTCATTTATTTTATAATTATTTAGTCGTGCATTTGTGATGGTAATCAACGCTGAGTCTTTAAATTCACGGAGTTAATTATACGCAGTGTTTCACTGGGAAGCATTATTTATGTGCACACACTTTTGAGAGTGGGTACCAAGAGTAGTCAAAATGCTATGTATTTTATTTTTAAAGTATTAATTAAAAAACAGCTCGATATGGTTGTGCCAGATGCCCCCATGTAGACTTTTTTTTGCAATATTATGTAAATAAATAAATATATATATATAATGCATACGATTGTCATTATTGTATTTACTTATGACATTTGTACTTCCATGTTTTTTAAATCCAGAAGGTTTATATTATTTTCTAATTCCTGAATGCGAAAAAGTGATAAATACATCAAAGTGGCAGAGGAGTTTATCTCCTTTGTTAATAAATCATGCACTCCGTTTCATGCAGTAAAGACATCTGCTGCAATGATCGAGTCAGCAGGGTTTCTGCACTTGGATGAAGGAAAAGATTGGCCTGATATTGTACCAGGAGGAAAATACTACATTACTCGAAGCGGCTCAAGTATTGTTGCATTTACAATTGGTGCTAAGTTTAATCCAGCGAATGGACTCAAGATTATTGGAGCACACACTGATTCGCCCAATTTTGCACTCAAACCGCGCACTGTTTCAGAAAGTAATAAATATCAACGTGTTGGGGTCCAGTGCTATGGGGGTGGTCAGTGGCATACATGGTTTGATCGAGATTTGACAGTTGCCGGCAGGGTAATTGTCGATCGTGGAAACCTCGAATCAGTGTTAATTCGTATTAACAAGCCGATTATGCGTATTCCGACACTTGCAATTCATTTATGTTCTGCACAGGAAAGGGAATCCTTTTCACCAAATAAAGAAAAACACCTAATCCCAATTATTGCCACAAAAATTGAGGAAGATATCAACAATGCTGCAAATAATCTTCACGGTAAGCACTGTGTTCCCCTTTTTGAGGCCATTTCCAAAGAGGCTGGTTGTGAACCCGATCAAATAATTGATTACGATCTGTCTGTAATTGACTACCAGGAGGCTAACATTGGTGGAGTTAATGACGAATTTATTTTTGCGCCTCGAATCGATAATCTACTCTCGTGCTTTTGTGCGATCAAGGCTTTAACAGATTCTGCAGGAAATGAGGATGAACTCATGGCAAGAGTGGTGTGTCTCTTTGACCATGAAGAAGTGGGGTCTAGTACAGCGCAAGGAGCAGGTGGCACGCTCATACCGGATCTTATCGAACGTCTTCTGGACAAGCAAACCCTCCGTTCGAGATTGGTGGCAAACTCATTTTTACTCTCTGTAGACGGTGCGCATGCGGCTCATCCCAATTATCCAGAAAAATACGAATCAACTCATCTTCCAAAATTGCATCAAGGTCCTGTAATTAAATACAATGCAAACGCAAGGTACGCTACAAATGCATGGACTGCAGCAGTTGTTAAGAAACTTGCTAAGGAAGCCTCCATACCGATTCAGGAATTTGTTGTTAAAAATGACTCACCTTGTGGTTCTACGATTGGCCCTATTCTCTCTACTCTATCAGGTATTAAAACTGTTGATTTAGGAAATGCAATGCTTAGTATGCACAGTATACGCGAGATGTGTGGAACTCAAGATGTTTATTACCTTATCGAACTGATTAAGAGCTTCTTTGAGAATTACAAAAATTGATGAGCAAAAGAGGAAAATTTTTAGTAAGCGAGTTACACTTCCTTAGATATAAGTAAAAAAAATTATATTTTCATTAGTGCTTTTACTTTCCTCTTTAAATCCGACCTTATGAAACACAAGCATAATATTATACTAGTAGAAAATTATATGGTTTTGTATCTCAGCCCATTTGATCTGTAATGCATATTATTATTTAATGATATTAAAATAATAAATAAATAGAAATGATAGATACGTTTCACATTTAATAATGAGGCTTTCTCTTGGCTAATTTGAACTCCTATTATTTATTTCATCATTTATGAGTTTCTGTTATTAATAGGTCTATATTCTGTGGCACTAGATTTTAGGAGAATATGGGCTGCTTTAAACCCCTTGTCGGTCAAGCTAAAGTACGCGAAAAAAAATCAAGTGAATGGGCCTGTTCCGCAATGGATTCGTTTTCAAACTGATAATTGTATCAAGTGGAAGGGAAAGCGCAAAAATTGGCTTCGTGCAAGGCTGAACAATTAGTATTTCAGCTTTTCATCTGTTTTTCAAATCAAATTATACCACAATAATTTAATAAAAATAAGTGTCACATTGAGTGGAAAATGCAATTATAAAAGTTTTTACATTGCACTTTCGTTATTTTTTAAAATAGATTTATATCTGGAAAATTATTGTTTCTGTAATGGTTTAATAATAATTCAATTGAACGTATGAGCAGCAGAATGGTTGCTTGCTAGAAACCTGCAAAACATATATCGGAAATATCCCTATCAATTCTTATGATGTTAGCACTCTAATAGTGCCTTTCTATGACTCAGCTGGCCTACCACCCTTGATGCAGTGCCATTTCCATGTGAATAGAAACAGTTCTGGGCACATACTGGTGACGGTAGAGGTACAGGAGATCCAAAATTTACCTGACTTCTTTACCGGTGGTGTCCGCGTTTCCATTTGGTTTGAAGGACAGCCCTCTAGTTGTGTGACGTCCGACGCTTTTAGCGTTCAGGGAGGAACTTCGATTATTAACTTTCAACAAACATTTTGCTTCGGCAGTTTGACGAACGATCTGAAGCGGTACTTTTCATCGGATGTGTTGTATTTACGGCTAGATGGATATATCTAGGGACAGGACGGTAGATGCGTTAGTTAGGAAACACCATGATACTATGAAATGTCCCCGGGTGTATATATTAGCTGCGCTGTTGTTAATAACTACATAGTTTTCTTTATTTGCCTCTTTTTTCTTTCCCATGTGATGATTACGCTACCTGCTTGCTTTTTCCTTTTAGTGATTAGCTCTGTGTTAATATTTGAATATCAGCATCCCTCAAATTACCTGTTGGTTCACACCACAAATATTTCTTTGCATAAGTCATGTTTGCATTCATACGTCTCTCTCCCTCTTTCCATTGTAAATTAGAAGAAAAATCAAAGTATCGTTTCATCATTTCTCTTTATTAATTGCAAATGACGGAACAAAATGAGGGGAATCGCGTTCAAGTCGCCTTGAGGATTCGTCCTGTGATGAAACTGGACAAGGATGGCGACAAGATTGTTGTAAGAGCGTGCGATTCGAGCACCGTTGCAATAGGCAGTGAAAGGGATATGCGAACGTACTCCTTTGATCACGTTTTGGCTACCGACCAGCACAGCGTTTTCGAGGCCATTGGTCGACCGATGGTGGTGGAGGCATACAAAGGCTTCAATGTGTGCCTTTTTGCTTATGGCCAGACTGGGAGCGGCAAGACCTATAGCCTTCTGGGCGATATGAACAACTCAGAGCTGTGCGGCATTACTCCGCGTCTCGTGCGCCAACTGTTTGACGAAGCCCAGCGACTTGTGGAGGAGGATCCCGATCTAGCTATTAAAATGTCGCTGTCGATGATTGAGGTGTACATGGAGAAGTTGCGTGACCTGCTTGTGGTGCGGCAGCATGGGCAGGAGCCGGAGCCACTTGAAATCCATGAAGACTCCAATCATCATGTGTACGTCAAGGGAGCTAGTGTGCATCCAGTGTTGGGGTTTGAACGAATGATGGAGCTCATTAGTAGTGGCAACGCGAATCGGCAGATGGCTGAGACGAAGATGAATGAGACGAGTTCACGCTCGCATGCCATTATCCAGATCAACATGTTGCAGGAGTACCGGTCGACTGACAAAAGAGATCTGAAGTGCACTATTTCGTTGGTGGATCTAGCTGGCAGTGAGCGCCAAGGAAAGGCCGATTCATCTGGGCAAAACTTTGAGGAAGCGAAAAAGATCAACTACTCATTATTGATGCTCGGACGCACGCTGAACTCGTTCAGTGAGCGCAAGGGTGGCGATGCGTTTATCCCACTTCGCGAGTCGAAGTTAACACGGTTACTATCCGAGAGCTTCGGAGGAAACAGTAAGACATGGATGCTGGCAACTGTAGCACCGACAGCTTATAATTTGGTAGAGACTGTTTCGACTCTGGATTATGCCAAAAATGCCATGGCTATCACCAACAAGGCACACATTAATAAAACGACTAAGGTTTTAGATCTAAGGCTGTTAAAGGCTCTTACTGCGAGCTTGGAAAATCGTCTTGACAAAATAGTAAGTGAAAGACGCCAAAAAGAGCTTCTTGTTCTCAAGTTAGAGAAGAACAAAAATGCTCTAAAACTGGCGGTTGAGATAGCTCGCTCGCAGAATACCTCTAATAATGGTGTTCAAAACACTTTCCAGCGGCTTGCTTTAGTTAATCATGACTTGAAGCGGCGAATCGAAGCGTCTTCTCAAGACATGGTGTGGGCTCTCGACAATGAGGTATCTTACCTTTTTTTCAAGGGACGTTGTGGAATTAGCTTGGAAAGCATTTTCCTAGGAGCACGCCGCGCATTTTGTTGTGCTTTGGAAGCAGATAAGGGCTCCCTGACGTCGGCGAAGCTACATATACAACTCTTTCCCATCGGCCCAGATGTGCAGGAGCGTGAAGATCCGGTGGAGCTGGTTAACAAGGATATTTCTTTCTGTCTTCACGTTGTGGGCGCTGAGGGCATACCTTCCGAGTTTTCAACACATACTTTCTGCCAAATCAAGCTTCGTTGTGATCAAGGGGATCACTGCTTCCGTACATCAATAACTGAAAACACGTGTAACCCGAAATGGGGTTTAGTCAAGCAGTTTGAAATACCAAAGCTAAGCCGTGAAGTAGTCTCTGATTTATTTTCGAAGCACCTATTCACCTTTGAAGTATATGGATTTAGCGTGTAATAAGGCTTGTGAAGGTGGTTATTGGCGTAGCTTCGTGTCCAGGTTAAGTTTGTTTTTCAGTATCCTTTCCTCGTATTAGCTATCATCGTTTCTTTACATTATATTTTCATGAAATGTAAATATTCGCGCGAAAAGCATTAAAGCCTGCATATTTCTCACGGCAGTAGGTATAATGCACAACAAGGGGATTTTCCCTCTTCGAACTTCTTTGCATCTTCGTTTGCTTTTTTTAAGTGGACTATTTGATGAGCATTCTTTAGTTTGGAATGATACATTCTTATTTTGTTTCGCGTAAGATTTTTATTCTTTCCCTCCCCTCCTTAAATCATGTTAACTTATACTGTCTATTCGAATTATATTGATGGACATATTTTCCCTTGCTGTTGTGCTCTTTCCCAGTTTTCTATTAGTTCTTTTTGCTTGCTTCTTTATTCCTATGATCTGATTGTCTAAAAGCGATAGGCTTCCTCATTTCACTCACATGCGGTATATTGTGTTTTCATCTGTGCACTCATTATCATTAGAGGTTGAAAAAGAAGATGAAGGGGGAGCAGTCAGCATAACTAAAAAAATAATCTATACAATATTACATTTTTTTCCTTTGAAAAATACCTCATCCAATGAAACAAGGTGAGGCTTCCCTTTCCCATTATTTACTCGGCCTCTACGCAGTCTCACCTCATCTACCTTACGGGATTTTTTGTTGTTCGTCCTGCTTCTCTCCGGAGAACAAATCACTACACTTTTCACGATTTGAAGCGTTAGGCTCAATGCTTCAGTTCATACAACGAATCCTCAACTTTGTTGGAGCTTAGCCATGAAATCGAACCCGAGTGATGCGTGTTAAGCTCTAATTGTGCTGTTACAGTTAGTTTCGTTGATCAAATAATGCTATTGTGACGGTGACGATGGAAGGCATCAATATAATTACCATGTGATTGATGCTGCGCTACTTTTGGTCTCTCTCATGCCTTGTACGCGTATAGAGCTTTGAAAGAATCCTGTTCTATTTTTTTTTACTCAGTTGTTTTTAGCTGGAGATTGGCTGCGACACGTGCACGACTTCCTCACATAGGAGGGCTCCCCTAGCTATGAACGAAGTCTATAGAGCTGTTTTATAATCCTTAAACCTAATCACACTTTCAGCATTTTCGGTCTCTATGGGTTCCTGCTTTTCAATATGTAAACGCATCAACTTACATCCAGAGTAGTGCAAATACATATAGAGCAAATTTACAACTGCTTGGGTATCAATAGGATTCTGTTTATTGTAGTGAGTCGAATGCGTTCTGTGTTAATCTTGGAAGTTGATTGTCGCTAATCGGTTAGTGTGGAAGATCATGTTGATAACCATTCCATTATCACGGATATTTGTAAATGATTTTTATCGCTTCAAGAGACATGATGCACCAAATGTGGTTGTTACTAAACACGTGTATATGTGATTATGGTTATCTATCTACAATGTGCCTGGAGTTTAAGGCATTAACTAGGCGTTAGAAGGGGAAATAAAGACCCACCGATTTCATCCTGTATCTGAAATCCCTTTATAAAATTAAATTACCTTTAAAAAGGTTTGATCCTTTAGATTTGTTACATGGCATTTCTCTAGCGGTAACAAATACCAACTATGGCATCAATGATTGATTATTATTTGTGTGTTTTTATTTCTACTTACATATATTTTCTCAATTATTTCACGTCTTAACCGAAATATTATTTTAACTTGCAGAGGTTTAGAGGCTGTTTTTATTTGCCATACTACTTGCGAAGCACAGAATTTAGCCTTGCTATTACTTTTTACTCTTCTTTTGTTCTATGAGAATGTGTATCTAACATACAGCGTAATATAGAAACACGAATTAAAAAATAGAAATACGTTAGCGTTTTTTCTAGATTTACGATTTTTTTCTTTAATATCTTTATTTCTATTTTTAGTTTGTTTTCTCCTTTTCTTGTCTCTTGTTATTTTCATATTTGGATAAAAAGTTGAATCTCTCTTTCTTATGCTCATCTGTTTTATTTACGTTTAATAAATTATAAAATGTTTATTAAAATCTGTTGGTTTATCATTTTTAATCCTTCTATCGGACTTATTGTTTTGATTCTTGTAGCTACACGAAAGTTAGTAAAATAGAATGGTGCGAGAAATATATGCATATTTCTGGCGCACATTTACCTTCTTTATAGTAATCTTCAAAAATATTCAAAATATGAGACGAACCAAATACCTCAGAATCTTATTTGGATTATTCCTTCTGCATTTTTGTCTCAGGTCTGCTTATTACCCATATCACCACCACTCCATCTCACTGAAGGTGCGCACCGACTCCACCAAGAACCATCTCTCAGTTGTTGCAAAAGGACTTCAATGGCGCTCTTACTCGTGGGGAGAAATCGCAGCAATGTACATCTCTAGCATTTTTGCTCTTTTAATTGCGTTCTTTATTTATGAAAACATTGTGGAGCTTATTTTTCCTAACCCACGACACCTGTCTCTGACAGAGAATTATGTGAACGGGAATCCCCCTAAGAGCGACAAGTTAAAACCCTTCCACTATGATACCCCAATGACATTATACGAATATTTCAAGATCGTCCTATTCACGCTCTCTGGGGTCCTGGTGCTTCGCATTGCAGTTGTATTCTTGAGCATCGTTTTGGGGATGGTTTGTGTAACTGTCATGGGGAAACGAAATCGAGTACACCACCCTCTCTGGTTTTCTTTCTGGATGTACCCGATCAACTTCTTCGGTACTATTATGTTGGCTGCTCTTGGCTTCTACAATACTAGGGTCTATGGTAAAGTGGCACCTCGTTCCCAATGCAAGCTGCTCATTAGTAACCATAGTTGTGTGCTTGAAGTGGTGTTTCTTGCCCTTCTTGAAAGGCTTCCTTCATTCGTTTCGCGTAAAGAGAATGAAAGTAGCTTCTTTTTCTTAGTAGTCGCGCGAATCTGCGATGCGATTCTGATTGATCGTAAGTCTCCCACGTCACGCAAGGAAGCCCTTGATGCTATTTGTAAACGAGCAAAAGATCCCTTAGGACTCCAGCTCATGATATTTCCTGAGGGTTCTACCGCAAATCAATTAGCATTATTACGGTTCCAAAAGGGAGCCTTTGAATCAGGAAATCCCGTCCAGATGGTTTGTATATACTTTCCGTACAAGCACTTTAATCCGACGTGGGGAGGAAAGATGGTAGGCGGTAACGATGTGCATGAAATTGTTTTGCGCTTGTGTTGCCAGTTTGTCAATTATGCTGAGATTCGTGTCCTACCTGTGTATTATCCCACAGAGGCAGAGAAGAACGATGCCATTCTGTATGCAAATCACTGTCAGAAAATGATGGCCACTGTTCTTAATGAATCTGTCAGTGACGCAACTTTCTATGACTATGACGAAGCTGCAAAGCTGTATCGTCAAAAAATAAAATCGAGATAGCAACGCTAATAGGGATGCTGTAGAATTTTAGTTTCTGTTACCTTTTTATGTTGCTTCATTATTATACTTGCGCAATCTAAGAGTTAGTACAATTATATATTCGTTCTTGAAATAGAAATCGATCTATTTTCTTAATTTTCATACGATTGTTTGTTTAGGCTATGTGGAAGGATTCCCCAGAAAGGATGGAAAAAATTTCATCGAAATGAATTTGAGGGAGACATGCTGGTAATGTTGTCGAATAATTGAGGCTATATATAGTTCATCATGATTGTTTATCATTATTGGATTGTAGCAAGCCCCGAGGAGCTCATATTTGCGAGTGCATATGAAAAATACAGGCACATACCCATTTAAATTTCAATTAAGGATTCCAGGAGCGAGCGTATGTTCTTACGAAATATTTTTTTAACCATGATGGTTTTACTGATTTTCATCAGGAAGTGCTAACATACATATATATATATATGTATGTATACATATTAACTGATGTCATATTATTGTTATTGTATTTTAGAGTTCAAGAAGTTTTGTTTTTCCATCTGAATTCATTCAACATTTTTGGATCATACATGTATAAAAACAGCATGCTTTTTGTTAATCAAGTAGATCGTGTGGCGAAATTTGTTACGGTATTAAATTTTACACATCATAGTTGATGCTAGTTGGTAAGCATTAATTCTTCTTTTTGGATAAAACGTATTCGTTATACAGCTATTCGTGTGTGTTTCACAGAAATTTTGTGTTATATATAATTTACTGTAACACCACCAAAGAGCGATGAGAGGTACCTTCTTTGCAAGAGAAAAGGGGGAAATAAACAACTCTCCAGGTGAAGTTGGATTTCAGTGCTCGCATGTTTACTTAAACATTGTTTTAATTAACTTTTCAGATCCGCTTTATCTGCTACTTACTTTGCAGTAAATCTGTTCTACAGGAGGATTTGGAAGCATCCAAAACGCTAAGATCGTATTAAACCACCCTTTAACTGACCTTTTTACATAAATAGTTCAGCATAGGAGAAACATATTTAGTGGACAGAAGTCAACGAAGAAACATTTATTTTATTGTACAATATAAATCCAAATCGCTAGGAGTAGAGGTGCAACAGTTAGATTGAGGATCCTGTGCCACAGTACCATTTCACTTTCCATACGTCTAGGATAAAATTGATTGATAAAATTTAGCCTCTTCTTCCCATGAAGTTTGAACGACTAGCTTTACCCATTGGTCACGATAGGAAACCGTTTGTACCGCCGCAACCGAACTACGGTCGGCTTCTCGATTTCACCGAAGAGGAGAAACATGAGAGAGACACGAGGGAGCACCGCTTGTACACACCTTATGTTCCCCCGAAAGAGAAGCCTAATCACACAATTCCATTTTGCAATCCGCAAATTGAGCGCTTAGCGCAGCCTAAACATCCTCAGGAACCTCGCCAGCTACCACAAGGCCAGTTGAAAGCTCCCGCTCAGAATGGTCGCAGGCTGACATCTTCAGCTTTCGCTCGGTCCGTATCGCTCAAAGCAGATCTGCCACAACGTGTTGATCCTAGCTCAAAGAATCGTTCCCATTCCATGGGTAAATCCCCGAGCTCCAGCCAGACGAAATCATTGTCGGATCAAAACACAAGGAGTTCTTATTTGAAACGACACCGGAGGCAAGTCCAAGACTTGAATCAACTCGCAGCTTCTTATAAGGAGGATAGATCACAGCACACCTACGGGGGAACTACTATAATTTCATACACACCATCGGCCTTGGCTCAAGCCAGAGAGCGTTGTGTGTCAATTGATGCTTCTAAGATTGAGTGGAAGAGTTTGGAACCGCTTAGACGCACCGAGTCAATGCATCCTTCACGCCTGCAGTGTGAAAAAAGCACGGTTCCGCGGTCCGTATCGGCGTGTCCCCCTGCTTCAAGAGCCATGACTGAGGCAATAGGGAGTCCAAAAGTTCAGATCGTTGTCTCGCAGGCTGTGCCCAAAAAATCACTCGACACGATGCCTAAGCCCCCAATGCAGGTACGCACTCGTCGCCTTGTGTGTGATAACGACGATCCAAATTTAATGCCATGGGAGAAGGAGCCCCCACCAGTGGCCCCGGTAGTAATCTATGCCACGGCACGTTGCACCTGAACATATAGGCATCACTCTCTGGTAAGGATGCTCGTGTGTTTTTCTTTATATTATTATTATTATGTCTTTCTCAACGAGGAGGGGCTGTGGGATGGGTCATGTGAGATATCTTGCGGTTGGATTGTAATTGTAGGAAAACTAGGCAGTTAAATCGTCGTCAGGTGATCAAGAAGGATCTTCAGTTGGGTTTTATTAGCAGGGTGAAGCAGCAGAGCACATTAGATATTCTTTAAAACCCATATTTGTACAAATACCAACACTTCCAACTCTGACAACATATACCATCAAAATATGGAGGTTGAACTTCGATGTAATCACTTAAGTATTTTCGAAGGCCTTGGTTGGGATTTACAGGTCCTTTATGGCTGGATGTTAATACTAGATCTTATTCCATATTTAATGTACGAATGAGATTAAACCTTTTTTGTGCTATATGAAGTTCAGCCTTCTCTCTTACACATTGTATTTTTAATATTTTTCATTGATATTGCACATTAATGCTTGCATGACGGGTAAACGCTGAGAGCTATACATATATATATATATATATATATGCATATATATATATATATATATAGCATTGTATTGTAGTTTGGATTTTACTTTTAGGATATTATAAGTATGTTATTATATCTAAAATTACACTGAATTCTTGCTAATGAGCTATCTCTCATACATTATATCTATCTGAAGAGGGAATTAATTTTGTCTTTTTTCTCTTTAGATACTGCTCAACTTTTTTGATCGGCGTGCTCTTTTTGAAGTAAAGACAGCGCAATATATTGTTCGTTTTACGCTTCCTTTTTGAAAAGCTCTTCGCTACTTTGTGCACCTTTTTTTACTTCATCAAACCCTCCAAAACAAGTTTCCGCTTATTATATAGTTACTGCGCAGGGGCAGAAAAGCAGGGCTGATGGGCCACAGGCCGAGCCATCCAGTGCCGCTTCCCAAATTTAATCTACCAATCACCAAAGAAGATTATAATGTATCCAAAAATGGCGCTGCAGATCGAAATTCCATGACTGAGAATAGGCGAATCTCAAAAAACATGTCGGCGACTAGGTTACTAGAGTTCGATGCCCAAGGGCAGGCAGTGTCGGCAACAGGCACGACTAACACATTTCAGGGTTTTCAGCAAAGCACTGCCACCTCTTCTCCACAACTCCCTGGAAAGTCTAAATATATAATCGAATATGGCGTTCTTACTATGTATGATGCAAATAATTCTACTGGATCACATGGCATGTTGTTTCTCTTCTGCGAACTTGAAACAGATAAAATCGTCTTCTCGTATCGTGAGGGTGCCACTGGTAACGTGTACGCCCGTAGCTTCACAGACGAGGAGCTCGAGATCGAAAAAAATGCCTCAGGGGTTGCCTTTTCGTGGGCACCCTTTTTTAAATCTGTTGCAGCAGCCTTGATCAAGTCCACAGCAGTTGTTTCCGCAACAACAGAGACGCAGAAAGATGTTTCTTTCACCATTTGCAACTCTAAGGATACCTCCCGTAGCTACCCATTTAAGGTTACTATGGGCCTAGTTTCGAACGGCAGGTCTCCTTCTATGGAGGTAGTGTTTCGGTACGTCCTTAGGCCCCTTTCCAGAGGCCTGCAATATTATCGCCGGATGGACAATAAGCGTATGCTTCAGACCCAGCGTATAGAATGCGAGACGGTAATTAATAAGGCCTCACTGGATCGACTCAAGAAAGATGCAGATCGTTTGCTTTCTGTCATTCACCCACTGTGTGAAGATTTGGCGAGTTCCGTGTATGAGTCCATGAAGTTGTCTAATGAATTACGCCGCTGTGAAGATCAAGTTCGTGAGCTGAGGGGGAAGAATGGGGTCAAGAAGCACCCTCTCGACGCTCTTTATGATGACGGCGGTCCCCAGAGGTTTCAGCACATCTCTTGGAGCGTGCAGCACTACCCATATGAGGCAGAGGTCAATGATATCTTGCTGGACTGCATCCGCGCCGCCCTCCCGCTACCACCGGGGGAGACGCTAGACTCAATCTCACGAGTCTTTGAATTGCCTGATATTAAACAGCGCATTGAGTCGTCTGGTAACCGCCAAACCATTGTAGAGGCATTCGAAGTATTTAAAGGGATTGACCAATGGGGCTGTGATACCATTGGCCTGGAAATCCTCACTGAGGGTAATTCCCTCTTCTACATCGTGTACATCCTCATGTACAAGTTGGATCTTGTTAGCCATTTCAGCATCGATGACCAAGTTTTGCGCAACTTTTTAGCTGCGGTTCAGGCTGGTTACCATGCGAATCCATACCACAACGCCATGCATGCTGCCGATGTAACACAAATTAATTATTATATAATGATGGTCGCTGGCCTCTGCGATAAATGTTGTTTGACTCGCATAGAAATTTTTGCTGGTCTGATCTCAGGTGCGATCCACGACTTTGATCATCCAGGGCTAAATAACAACTTTCACGCTCGAACGAACGCACACTTGGCCACTCTCTACAATGATCGATCCATCTTAGAGAATCATCACGTTGCGTGCATTTTTGAACTTCTCCGCAACCCACGGTATGATATTTTGGCGACCTTGGATGAGCAACAAAAAATGGACTTCCGTACTGTTGTGCTTGAAATGGTACTAGCCACAGATATGGGGAACCACGCAAAGATATTCAAAAAATTTCAGCTACGTGTTTCTGAACCAGAGGACTGGCACTCAAAAAAGGATGATGTGATGTTGGCGTTGTGCATGTCCATAAAAATGGCAGATGTCTCCAATTGTGCACGCCCTAGTCATATTTACGCGGTGTGGGCGCGCAACATCGCGAATGAATTTTACCTACAGGGAGATGCTGAACGTTCCCTTGACCTTCCAATCACCCCTTTCATGGATCGCACGAAGGACAAGGGTGAGTTCGTGAAGGGACAAATAGCATTCATCATGTTTATAGTACGACCATTGGTGGAGGCGATCTCCGAATTGCTGCCATCTCTTTCCTTCATGGTTGGCTTCTGTAGCGAAAATATGCACCTTCTGAAGACTAGAAATGAGAGGTCACAAATTTGAATTCTTTCCCTTTCCCTCATTTACTTTTAGAATCAGTAAGTGATAAAATTGTGATATATGACTCGCTATACCCATATTATTCCTTGTTTTAATATATGAATGCTATCAATTCATTAGTAATAACATAGCTGCTTTCTTGTATCACTCTAACTCGATATTAAAAGGCATTATTGTTCTACTTACAATATATCTTTTTTTACCTTTCTGGCAGCCGGAAAGGTTAAGGAAGGATATAGAAAATTTTCATGTCAAAGTAAAAGGGCTGTTTATTAGGGAATTCATCTGATCAAATTCGAAAAAAGGTGAATTTAAGGTATATGTATTTTTTTCATCCTTCAGTTGTCGTGTGCTATCAATTGGATGCCTTGTGCATTGACAATTCTTTCAGAAGGCTTCACTGTTTTGCATATTACATGATGTAAAATCGCATGAGTTACCTTTTGTGGGTGTGTATTATTCTTTTATTCAAAAAAAGATGAGGTCTTTTATATTTCATGGAAAAAGTTTAGTCCCCTTATATGAAATAAACCGATAGTTTATGATTGGAACACCATTTTATTTACACTAATTTGTGCCGTGTAATTTCGAATATTTTATTTCCTAAAAGTGAGCATGTGGAAAAGCGATGCATTATATTAAATGTAAATTTGATTTGTCTTATTCACACTATTAATTTCCTTATATTTAAGAAATGAATCATTTAGGCCCTTTTTGGAAATAATCAAATGTACAACCAAAAAGGTGGCATTAGAGAGGGTTTTGCGGCCACACATTTTTACAGTTGTTTGCTTAATTTACCAATTCGAACAAAACGTATAATTAAGCCCAATAATTACATAGTGAAGTTTAGCATATCATGCTGCTGCCTCCTTTTCTGGACTTAATTTTTTTTGTTTTTCCCATTCAACTCTTCTCAACGCCTTTAGCCAAAGTGATATTTAAGCATGTTCACTTCCTTCTTTTCCTCTCGGTCACGAGGCTCCTGGATTCCACCTATCGACATTATCGACCAGGATAAAAAGTTCACAATGATCATGGACCTACCTGAAGTTAAGAAGGAGGACTTGAAGGTCTACACAGAGAAGGGTAATGTTGTTTGTATATCTGGCAATCGACTTCGAAGCAAAACGGAGGAAGATCGAAGGGACCTTCTTATTGTTGCTGAGCGTGGTTATGGGCGATTCGAGCGTTGCTTCGAACTTCCCACTTCCATTGACGATTCATCAGTAAAGGCTTCGTTTAGGAATCAAACACTGAGAGTTGATGTTCCGAAAGAGTCGAATAAAGACGTAAATTCTTCTTCCTCCATCAGTATTGAATAAAATTGATCGCAGCGATTGAATTGTCAAGACGGTGGCAACATGAAATATATGAATTCTTGAAAAATATGCATAATATATAACGGGAAATACACTATTATTTTGATTTGTGGTGAAGCTGCAAGTACAATATTTGACTTTATTAGGATTTCCCATGACATTGGCTGGTGGAGCAGTTGATACTCAAGGGATGAACATATTTTTATAGGATTAATTTTATCTACTTATTCTTAAATTATTCCATTATAAATTACCTTTTTTACGTTAGCTTCATTTTCCTTCTATGTGCGTACTTTATGAATTATCACCGCGTTATGGTTCACCTCTGATCGATACTTCTTCAGTTCCACGATGCTATTCCTCTCCTGGTTAATACCTTCTTTCTTACTTTTAAATCACCAATCATGTGTGGACTGAATAGGTTAGCAAGATGCCGAAGGGAAACAACGCGATACCCCACGTCCACCAGAAGAAGCACTGGAACCCGTCTTCTTCTCAGAAGGGCAATGCCAAGGTCTTCTTCAACCAGCCGGCGCAGAAGCTTCGTCGCCGTCGTCAGCGCTTGCTGAAGGCCAAGAAGGTGTTCCCTCGCCCTCTGCGTGCCCTCCGCCCACAGGTGAACTGCCCCACGGTGCGCCATAACATGAAGAAGCGTCTGGGCCGTGGGTTCACCCCCACCGAGCTGCGTGCGGCCGGATTAACCCCCCGCTACGCCGCGACCATCGGCATTTGTGTGGACGCGCGTCGCAAGAACAAGTCCGAGGAAGGCATGAACATCAACGTTCAGCGCCTGAAGACGTACTTGAGCAAGCTGGTCCTGTTCCCGCTGAACCACAAGAAGCCCCAGAAGGGTGATGCATCTGAGGAGGACATCAAGGCCGCCACACAGGATAGCTCGCGCTTCGGAGACGCAGCCGTGGGCCCTGTCCAGTACCCCGCCGCTGAGAAGCCTCGCAAGGTCACCTCTGAGGAGCAGACCAAGAACGTGTACAAGTTCCTCAAGAAGAACCACTCTGCTGTGCGCTTCTTTGGTGCACGCAAGGCACGTGCTGCTCGCAAGGCTGCCTCTAAGGAGTCTAAGAACTAAGACTTGTTGTATTTTTTCCCTCGTTCCAATAGCATGTTCACTGATTCTAATTTTATAATTTAATAAAATTTAGTTATTGCTTTTCCCCGCTTATTGCCCGTTGTGTGCTTTCCGACTATTTTTCCTTTACGTCGGGGGTGAGTTCGATATGAATGTAAAATGCAGAATAAAATAACCTTATCACTTTTTTAACTCCTTTTTTAGAGTACTAGTTTTCTAGCAAGGAATTTAGATTGTATCGAAAGACAACTCTCTTGGTCCCTCTAACGGCACATCTCATGCATACCAATTTGGTATTGGAAAATAGGAATGGGAAAATTTGATTATTTGCTTATAAAGGACAGTGACTCCGACAGTTCTGAGGGGCTGACCCAGCTCCCTCCGATTCGTATGGAGACCAGCATCAGAACTGCCCAAGATGCGGCTATACCTGCGGTCACCCCCGTAGTGCCTGTGGTGGCGCCTACCACAGGGCTATCTGTAAATAGCTCATCTATACATGTTGGACCCATATTTCGTCATGAATTGGTCTCAATGCACGAAATGAAAGCTCATCCAGATGACGTTAAGGCTTCTCCGTTACAAAACTTAAACACTCCCAAAGCTACTGAATTCCCTTCGCATGGCTCTCGACAATCTGTATCCAAGACACCTCTTAATCAAAATGACATGCCAGAGGCACCTCCACTCCTTCAAGTGAGGAATGCTTCCTTAAGTAACCGCAAATCATTTCCCAGATCAGGTAGTGTAAAGGGTTCAGCATATTTTGTGGGTGATGAGAACTCAATTCATCAGCAGCTGAACCGCCAGGTAAACGGCAAACGTACACTTGTAAATACTTTTCGGGCACACAATAGTCTATCAAGTGATAGCACATCTGAGCACTTGCGTCCTGCCTCTCAGCGCAATACTGACACACTAGAGTTAACAATGGACTCAATGCCACCGGGTCATGAACCCAACAGGTGGAGTTCTTTGAAAAGCAGCAGTGAAGCTTCTGTGTGTAAGGCGAATTTGGTTTCCCCAGTGCTTGATGCAGCACAGGCTCCACCCTTGGCAAATTTGCCCAGATCGAGGAGAATATCTTCACCTAAAGTTCATGACCGCATGCTTATTCCAGATCATCCAGGAGCCGAAGCATCTTCGCTTATTGTGCCTTCCGGAATGAATGCAGATCCAGTGCCCATTACAGCACCGGCTAACAGTGATGGGGACCCTCACATCACTTTTTCGTCGTCTGGACATCTAGCTTATACACCGCCACCGTCAGTGATGGGAAAAGAATCCAAAATCCGCAGTGGATGTGGCATTTTTTCATTTTGCAGGAAGAAGGTCGAACACACGACTCTGGAAGATAAATCTAGACCACCTGTGTCTACTGTAGACGACGATGTGTGGGTGCATGCGTTTGATTCACATTCCGTTCCACCCCCAAGTGACGAAGTTGCCCCAGCGGGCGCTCTAGAAAATGCATTGCCACATCTTTCTCCAACTGGGATGCTGGCAGAACAATCGATTCACACCATCTATGCGCTTGAAAGGGAACCAAGTCAACGCCGAACGTCATTTCAGGAGGAGGATGTGCGTGTTGAGTCGTTGGGACAGCTGCCCTCAGCACATTTGCTCGTGCACAATAAACTCTCCCCTACGAATCAGCCTAATAGACATATCTCCCCAACTTCACTGCAGCTCTCGACCTTGTCATTATTTGAAACGGACCAACAGCAGCAGATGCTGCAAAATGAAACAGTACCAGCCTTCGAAAAATGCGATCAGGTCGCTACGTGCGCTCAGGTGCAGGATGTGTATGACAATAAGGAGGATTCTATGCACAGCGAGAGCGGGGCTCCAGTTGTGAATCCAGAAAAGTCTGGCACTACGCAAGTCAACAACACTGCCTCTGGGGAAGATTCGCTTCGGTTTTTACTCTCCTCTGGTGGTAACGATGACAGAGTCTCTGGGAATTTAGACGGATCGAGAGGCCCAGCCCCTCAAAGCGCGGATTGTCCCGCCTCACACCTCGAGCATGTCAGCGGGGCTGCTGCGACACCCTGTAACGGGGACTCCAGTGCCGCCGCAGTGGCCCCTTCTGCTCCCCCTATCCCAGATAACCTAACCCCAAGCGAGGCGGGTGGGCTTCCCAGGATGCACTCGAGACCATCATCGGAGGTGCTCTTTTTTCGCACAGACTCACTTCCAAGCAGCAAGGGTAGCGGTGAGGGGCCTCCGGTTATGTGTGCCACTAAATCCCTCGGTACCTCTACGAAGCCGATTACAGACCAAATGGGTGTTACAACGGAGGCACATTACTTGATCTCATCGGGGGAGTCTACGCCATTTACAAATGACGAACAGTGTCAAATAGGGGTAAAGGAAGTAGAATATGGTATTCCCGATGATTTGGCTGGTCTACCTCTTTATCAGCGTCGTATCCTTCTCGATTTACGTGAAGCAGAGCGGCGGGAAATCGAGGAGGTTGCTAAAAACTGGCGGCATCTTACCTTTCACCCAAGAATCAACAAGTGCCCAACTCAAATTTTAGAGTGCACTCAACCATTCAGCGAACGGCTTAGCAAACCGCGGCAGCAGAAGTCCTCGATACCGTCCCCTACTCCTGTCAGAAAGGCCTCCATCTCGAATAAAGTTCATGGTCCACATCGACAACCGGCCAAAAGAGGCTTATCCTCTCAGCAACAGGTCCCAACCGTATTCGATCGACTTATTAAGCGTCACTCTTCCACTGACACCAATACCTTACGAGACCAGGCCCATAAAGAGTTTACCTATACACCAGAGATCAGTGACTTGGCGAAGCGACACGTCTCTTCGTTGGATGTTGTGTCGCGTCTCTACCCCCAACCCCCTCAAAAGCATAATGATACTGGGGTAAATGCTTCACCTCAACGGGTGGTGCCGAACGTTACCACACCAGAGTGTTCTAGATCTGCAGGTAGAGCCATCACCCCCGATATCCACAAAAAAAGTGTCTTCGAACGCCTTTACTGTCTGCAGAAGCCTCCAAAGATCCTTTCTCAGACCTCACTACAACCTATACGTAGGCTTTATGCTTTCCGTGAGTCAGGATCAAATGAAGTTACGCAATACCCATATGCATATGATGAGAATGGGAATAATAGTGATGGTATTGCAAGGCGTCTGTATCTAAATATTAGGAATCCACAGGATCGTTGTCATCATACGCCATTCTACTCTAGTGATACTTCTACAACATGAGGGTAGGAGGCTGTCAGCAGGCTGCTTGATGATCCAAGGACCCTACTACCTGACTAATTGCCAAGATATTGGCCCCAAGAATTTACAGATCGACGGTGAGTTAGAGAGGTATTACACAATGATCCGATAAAAAGTTATACTCACAGATTTTGTTTCGTTACTATTAGCCTTGCAGCAACGCGCTTGGCCCTTGCTACTGGGTAGTGCATGTATATTAAAAAAATTAGACTATTGTACGCCATTAGGATTCCTATAGACGTCTGTTTTACTTTCATTTGTAGTATTTTTTCAATTCTTGTATTCAATATCTTCTCTCCTGGGAAATACATTTCGACATCGTTACTATTCTATTACTCACCACTGGTGTACACATAAAACTATATAAATGATGGGATGATTGTGTTTCTTCATGCACTTGTATGTGGTATCTTCGGCAGTTTCTTTTCTGTCTGACTTTCTTACCACATTCAAATATCATTTCTCATGCTATAATGGGAAATTTGTGATAACAAGATCCCAAAAGTAAATCGGACATTACTACGCCTCTTTGGAATCGGCGAGAACGTGCCAAAACGCTTAACGATTCATGTGATGGATAAAAGTTAAGGTACCTAATTATAGACAAGTTTCATCTAAAAGCGCAATACTTTACTAGAACAGACTTGCGAAGTGAGGGAAAGGAGTCAATCTGAATTAAAAGGATGACCGACATCCAACGATGCTATATCTGTCAGAAAGGCATCAATGATGACACTATTCAGCTTTGCGTTAGCTGTAGTCGCTTAGTGTGTTCGAGGTGCACGCCGATGGTTTTTTACAACCGATACCAGTCTGCACTTTGCAGCAAATGCCCCACACCACAGATGACCCATTCATGCGGCCGATGTGGCCTTCAAATATCGCTATTTGAATTGTTTTTTTTCTGTTCTATGTGCGCTGTGCCACTTTGCACGGGATGCCTTTGCTTCTCCTTCGAAAACGGTAGCTTAAAGTGCTTTCAGTGCTGTGATTCCCCTATATGCTGGAAGCTGCCAAGCACCCAAGCTTCGTACCAGTTAACTGAACAGTTTTTGGCGCGCTTACAGAAGGCACCAGATGTAACGAAGCCTCCATTACGCGAGGCAAACCCTGATCCCACCTCTAGTACTTTAATTTCATCTGCCCTTGAGCGAACCACGTGTTCAGAGTACACTCATCTCTATGATAAGCAAAAGTTAGGCGAGGGCGCGCAAGGTGTTGTGTATAAGTGTCGTACTGTTGATAATAAAACGGTCGTGTCGAAGGAGATGATTTTCGATGAGGTGGATCGGTCCGTGATGGAGTCTAGGTTACGTCAAGCACTGCGCATCAAGGCACTGAGTCATCCTCACCTTATCTGTTACCTCGATGTGATACTGCGGGAGGATCCGTTGCGTATTTGTGTGATTATGCCGTACTACGACAAGGGAGATTTAAGGGAATATATCACGCGGCAGCGTGCCCCGGTGAAGGAGTGCGTGTTATGTTCCATCGCATTGCAGATTGGTTTAGCTTTAAAGTACCTTCATACACAGGCCCCGCCACTTGTGCATCGTGATATCAAACCAGAAAATGTGCTTTTACTAGATAATGAGGAACAAGTTTTGCTTATGGATCTTGATTTGTGTGGCGCCGCTGATTTAATGTGTAGTTTGTCAAATCGAAAAGTGCCTTCATCTACATATGAGTACCGAGCTCCTGAGCTGGCAAACACGACAGGTTCCACCAAGTCTGATGTATTTAGCCTAGGTGTTATGATGTTTGTTCTGGCTACGCTTCCCGAGTTTCCGTGCGTTCGATCAGAAAATGGCGAATACATGGTGCTATCGGCCCCGGAATGGACACCTCACTCGCTGGGAATGGTCATTCGGCGAGAAATATGGCAAGTGAAAAACTACGTGTATTCTGAATTGTTTATTCAGCTACTCGTGAACATGTTAACTCATGATCCAGATCTCCGACCAACGTCTACACAAGTATGCGACACTTTGGCTGAAATAATGGAGCAAAGGCTCATGCAGGGATAATTTATATGTCTCTCAGGAAAGTATGCATTCATGTACACATTTATGTTCATGACGAAAGAGCATGGTGAAGAGCAAAAAAAAAAGGTTGATTTCTTGTGTCCTTTTGGATCATGGATTCCGCGAGAAATTTCTATATCAGCTTGTAGTTGCACCGATTTGCGGCCCCACCAATCTATTTAGGGCTTAGTTACACTGTTTCTTCTGTTTTGCTCTCGCTTTTCAAGAGTCGTTATTTACTATTGTCATCATGTTTGGGCTCAACAAATTTCACGTACCCTGACATCTTCAGTCCGTTACTCAACTTGATTGGCACTTTATTCCTTTCCAGGGTTTTAAAAATAAAGGACTTTATATCATTTTAGGCAGAAGCTTTTGTCTTTCTCTTTAAAGGAATATAGTACAGTATAGTTAAGATGTCTGTTGATTTTACCTCGAAAGCAGTGGAGCTCTTCAACCGTGCAACAGGGCATGACAATGGGGGGGAATATCAAGAGGCTTATCGTTGGTACATGGAGTGTATTGATGTGTTCATGACCGCAATGAAGTATGAGAGTAAGAATCCAACAAAGCGCGAGTTGCTTAGAAAGAAAGTAAGTGAAATATTAAAGCGGGCCGAGCAGATCAAAGAATATTTAGACAACTCCAAGGACGACGGTAACGGTGGAAAAGCTTCAGGTGTCTTACAGAAAACAGGGAGCTCTGAAAAAAAGGCCAAGGAAGACGACGAAGACAGCAAGCGGATGCGCAGTGGCCTAGAGAACGCAATTTTGCGAACGAAACCGAATGTTCAATGGAGTGATGTCGCGGGTTTAGACGCTGCTAAAGAGGCTCTAAAGGAGTCTGTCATCTTACCCATCCGCTTTCCACAGCTATTCACGGGAAACCGCAAGCCATGGCGTGGAATTCTTTTGTACGGCCCACCTGGAACTGGTAAGTCATACTTGGCAAAGGCTGTAGCCACCGAGTCAGAGGGAACTTTTCTGAGCGTTTCGAGCTCCAACTTGCTCTCGCGCTGGATGGGTGACTCTGAGAAGCTGGTGCGGACGTTGTTCGAGATGGCCCGAGAGGAGTACCGTAAGGAGGGTAAACCAGCTATTATATTTGTGGACGAGATCGACGCACTCGTGTCGTCCCGCTCAGATAACGAGAATGACGCCTCTCGTCGTGTCAAAACAGAGTTCCTGGTACAAATGCAGGGTGTGGGTAATGACAGCCAGGGTATCCTGGTGTTGGCAGCAACCAACATTCCGTGGAGCCTTGATGTGGCTATTCGGCGGCGTTTTGAACGGAGGATCTACATCCCACTTCCAGATATGCAGGCAAGGCGGCGAATGCTTCAGATTCATATGGGCAATACATCCCATACCCTGACAGAGGAAGACTGGATGGATTTGGCCCAGCGTACTGAAATGTACTCAGGGAGTGATATTGAGCAGGTCGTTCGAGATGCTCTCTTCGAGTGTATCCGCACAATGCAAGTGGCGACGCATTTCAAGCGTGTTTCAGGACCAAGTCCGAAGGACCCGACACGAGTTGTTAAAAACCTACTCGCACCGTGTTCCCCAGGCGATCCGGATGCGTTTCCAATGACGATTGATGAGATCACGGATCCGGAGCTGCTAGTCCCCCTCCCAGTGACCAAGATGGACTTCCTTAAGGCATTACGCACTACCAAGCCCAGTGTTTCAGATGCGGATATTGAGCAACACACCAAGTTCACAGCGGAATTCGGTCAAGAGGGTTAAAAAAGAGCAAGAGATAGAATGAATTGCTCGGTGAATCTTCACAACAGTCGATAAAAATTCCCTAAAGAAATGCTGTCATTAGGGAAAGGTGAGAACAATCACCAAATACTGTTGTATTCAAGGTTTAAGAAACAAGACATTCAAGTTTCCGTACCAGAAGATAGTAACTCAAGTGTGTTTATTTTTTTTCAGAACTCAACTTATGCAGATGGCATGGGATGTCCAACCGATCTGAACTTTATGATGGTGCAAAAAAAAAAAATAAAGTGTTTATTTATTTATTTTTATTGTGCATTATTTCTGTGTTAAGTTTTTAGTGCTCGATTATAGGAAAATAAAAATGCGAAGAGTTGTCCTTTAGAACAAAATTAACTGATACTCAACAAAAGGATACCCAAAAACGATTTAT